GGTGGGGGGGTGGGATAGGGAGGCATTAAGGCCATTAGGCCCAAAACATGGAAAGTTTTGAAACATGGGAAGTTTTCAGAATCTTGGAGATCGTGTATTTTACCCAGGCCAGTGGCAATTTGGTGTCCCCACCCTGGTCTGTTGCCTGCTCAGCACACTGGAGGGGGTTGCCTTCACTATACTCCTCCCCCAAGTCCTCTGCCACCCAAACTCCATCCTTTTCATCCATGGAAGCTTGGTGCCTTCAGCCCTCACCAGCTATGCACAAGGATCCCCTTGAATTCATGGAGTCAGACCTCAGCTAGCAGGAGGTTTAGGCTTTAAACTTGGGTTCTGGCAACACTTACGCTGGCTCCATACTGCCTGTCCCTGCCCCTTTACTTCTTAGATGCGGCCTCTAGCTTCCCTGTTATTGTCCCAGTTGGGAAAGTTTCTGGCTCCCCCACTTAAGAGGACTGCAGGATAGGGACACTGGCTGGGTTCATTTTCAGAGGCTAGTGCTCATGGCTGCGCTCATACAGACAAGGAATGTTTGCTGAATTACTCAGTGGAGTGCTAGCCTTCCAGCTTCCCTCGTTCCTTGGAGCTGCCTTTGCTCTCCTGGGCACCAGCTCCCTCTCCACAACTACCCTCTCCCCGACCTGGCTTCACCTAGTGCAGGGACTGGAAAGCCCTCTGAATCTTGTATAGACAATCAGGTCTCCAGCTCTGACTATCCCCGTGTGTGTCCTGTGACACCGCCTCCCACCCGCCACCCCCCTGTCCCATTTTAGACTCCTCCCATAGTGCAGTTCTTTGGGTTTTTCTTTCAATCTTCAGTCCTGCAATGGCCACTATCCAACCCAAGCCCCACCCTCACTCACCACTCTTGAATTAGGACACCTCCACTCAGGCCTGCCTCATATGTTATAACATGCAAGGATAGCGAGAGCTCCCTTCCAGAAAAACTTCCCTTCACCAAAAAGAGCTGGTGTGGGTGGCCTGGCTTCTCTTAGCTCACCTTCTGGGTTTTACATGTGTAGGGTCCTCTACCTCTCTCCTTTAGTCATTCACTGAGGGACCTCCTTCTTGATGGCACTCAGGGGATTTCTGAGGGAAGCAGTACACAGGAAAAGCACGAGTGTGTGGTAGGACGAGGAGGAAGAAAAAAGATGCTTTTTTTGAAAGTTTTTATTTCAAAAAATAAAGCTGCAGTTAATTTCACATAAATATCTGGGGAGGGACGGGCAGAGGAACGGGGCAGGGACTTGGCCCCTACCTCCTCTTCTCTTTCACACTGTATTGTAAAAGCAAAGGGGATGGCTAAGGAGACAAAAGGGGAAGAAGCAGTCAGTGCAAGCATTCTTACCCAGAAGGCCCTCTCGGCCCACCGCTGCCCTGGGGACTGCCTTGGCCTGGCTCACCTTGCCGAACCAGCGGGACAGCCATATCTGCTTCATGGTCATATGATCAGGGAGAACTTCATTGTCAAAAAGGAGCTGCACCTAGCAGGGCGATGCGGGCATTTTTAGGAACTCTCCTCTCGCACAGGTCAAGAACTCACCTGATCTACTCTAGACTGTGGCCCTTCCTTTATAGCCCTTTCCCTCTCCCCAAAAAGCCTACTGTGGAAAGACTCACATGCTGGGGATTTAGCATCAAGCGATGACATAAGACCCTCCGGAGATGGCGAACCTCGGCTCTCACCGAACATCGGACATATTTGTTCTGGAGGTGGGGAGGAAGAGGACAAAGTGTGTGAGGGACGTGCCCTGGGGGAGGTAAGCATCCTCCGAGAGGCCCTCCCCTCATCCTCTCTCACCTGCAGAATGCTTTTATTCTTGTCTTTGCCGGAACTGGAGGGAAACAGACACAGGTTAGGGAGTCCTATCTACCCCCTGCCCCCCATCCAGAGCCAGGATATATTCTCTTCAAGAGAACAGACACTCCCTCTGCTCACCCTCTTGTTGAGCCCCTCCCTGGCTCTGAGTCATTGACACTGTCACTTCAGATAGTACAGGACCTGCCCCTCACCTCAGCCGCTCCAGGCATAGGCTCAGCTGCTCATCATATCGATAGTAATGGGCTTTAGAGTGGTCAAAGCTGCTGAAGGGAAGGCCGAGGTTGCTCAAGGCTGGCTCTAAGAAAGACAGAGTAGTGACCAGGGTGGCGCAGGTTCCATACTCCTTTTCCCCCAGAGAGCAAAACTGGGCAGGAGGAATGCTCTGGGGGCTTTACCTTACCCTCCTGCTGCCAAGGGACATACCTTCCCCGCTAGGCTGGGTGACTCGGTCCAACCCTCGGGACTGGTAAAATTCTCGAATCCGTTTCTCTTCACCTAGAAGGGAGTGGAGTATAGGAAATAAATATTAGCTCTCCCTCACGCTTTGTCAACCTCTTTAACTACATGATTCCCACCAAAACCCTTGTCACCTCAAGCTGCCACCTAACATCTGTCCTCAAGAGATCCCTCAAAGTCAGGTTGGTTACTCACTGTCTTGCAAGCCAGGCACTAGCTTGTATACAATGTCCTGCATGACCCGGTCCAGTTTGAGGTTAAGCAGTGGCTGTGTCTCATGGATCTTGATGTTGCACATGGGGCAATATTTGCTGGTTTGGAGGTACTTCACAATACAACTCTTGCAGACTGCAGGAAAAGAAAAGCAGACTCTCAGGCTCTTTGGGAATCGAGTTCTTGGGCTGGATAGGGTGCCTACGTGGTTGGGGCAGGCAGCCCAAAGGCTGTCAGCCAGGTTGGTGAGGACTAGGGCCTGGAAGAGCCAGCCAGAGTCCTGGGCACTCACAAGTATGAAGACACTCTGTGATGGTGGTAGCATCCACGAAGTAGCCAGCGCACAGGCAGCAGACGATGTGCTCATTCAGGTCTTTGATCTTTACTCGGACCTCCTCCTGCGGACACACCCTTTAGTTACCGATCACTCTCCCCAACCCCAACCTTTGAGCCTTCCCAGCCTGGGAGTCGCCTCTTTCATCAGACCCGACGGCCAAACCCCGCACCCTAAGCGGTCAGTAGAATATTAGCACCCGGAGGCTGACACTCCCCCTATGCCCAGCAGAGGGCTCCGCGCACAGCGGGGGCTCACTTCACGTGGACTCGCCGGACCTTCCTTTCCCTGGGGAGGCTGCACGACTTGGGCGGCACAATGCACAGGCGTCCTAGCACTGAGTTTGGCAACTTGACCGCAATCGCGCAGGCGCATTGGGCCCCCTGTCTCTGCGCAGGCGCACTGGGCGCCCGGCCAGCCACAGCCTGTCCACTATGCTGCCCCAGTTCGCACCGCTAGCCGACCACGGCAGTAACCCTGCCGCCCCTGCACCTCGTTCCGTAGCGGGTCCATCTTGTACACTGACTGGAGCTGGTTCCGAAGCCTCATCGCGATCGCAATCTGGCCCCCCTGAGGAGACGCCATCTTAAAGGCTGAGCCCAGCCTGCGACTTCCGGTGCCGCCTGCGGGGCGGGACTTGTCGCCCAGCAACGAGGGCTCAGGTCTTTTTGGATTCGCTGACCCTCTGTAAGGCTCCGCCCATGTCCCTTTCTCCCCGTGTGCTCACCTGAGCCCCACTGGCCCCTCCCCCTCCTCAATCCTTAATTAGGGAGTGGGGGGGCGTGGGGAGGGGTCCTATCTCTTTGACCTCCTGTAGTAATCATCACACTAGACCCTACCGAGTCTCGGAAATAACTTTTGGATCCTGCAAAAGACTTCTCCCTCCTACCCTCAAACACCCGGGGTGGGGGGTCTGCGCCCGCCAAAGCCCAGGGTCGTCCACCTCCTGTGACAGCGGCCCCACTAAAGAAGCCCCTCTGGGGCCCTCTCTTCGTAATATCTCCCTCATCAGCTGACGCGTTCGCATTACGGAGCTTCATCCCGAAGGCGGGCCTTCTCCCGGCTCCACTGCGGGAGTTTCTCGGGGCTTTGCGGAGTGTTGGGGAGGGTGGTGGGGAGGGAGGGACCCCTAGGGACTTGGTAGTGATCTTACATCCTCGCCCTGCCGCCGGGGACGGCGGCGGGGGGTGGGGGCAGGCCCTGGTTAATGATTATGATTCAATCATCGGCGCCTGCGGAGGCCTGGGACAGACTAATGCAGAGCAGATGCGAAGGAGGAGGGGAGGACGACTAGGACAGTACCGCACACGGACACGCTGAGGCAGCGAGCCCCTGCAGTGGCATAAGCCCAGCCTCGTGTTTGGGGAGGACGAAGGAACCCCGAGAGCTTGTACACCACTGTCCCTAAGTATTTTCAGTGGGATTAAAAAACAAGGATAAGTTTACAGTGAAGTGTTAATACCAAGTGCAACTGGAGATTCAAAAAGGGAGAGATCCCTGTGGAGACCCCAAAAAGCTTTCTGAAAGAAGTGGGACCATTTAGAGTGTGTGCGTAGGTGGGAGGGGGTGGGGGGTGGGGAATAAGAGGTGTTATGGAAATAGAAAAGAGCGGCAGAGTGGAGGGGAGTGACCGGAGAGGGACAGGAAGTAGGCCAAGGTGTGAATTCGAAGAGTATTAGTATTAGAAGCAAGGCCTTATGGAGTTGGGACTTTTAGACTGTGAGCAATAGGGAGCTAACAGACTTGAATGGAGGGAGTTACCCTATGAAAGAAACATTTTTGTTCATTTATCTTCAGAGTGAATTGGAGTGCAAAAGCAGCAAAAAGTTATGAGATTAATGATTTTTTAAATCAAATACTTCTCACTACAGACGCTGCTTACCTCCTTGGTCCAAGATGCCATCATCTCTCCTTCGGATGAGTACAGTGGTTTCTTGCCTGCTTTTCTTGCTTCTCTGTCGCCCCTCTTTAGCCCATACTCAACACAGCAGCTCAGAGTGATTCTGGTAAAAAATGAATAAAAAAGGATACAAGGAAAGTTTTTCGAGTTGATAGATATGTTTATTGATTGTGTTGATGGTTTCACGGGTGTATACATGTCAAAACTTATCAAATTGTACATTTTAAATATGTGCAGTTTAGTGTATGTCAGTTTTACCTTAAGAATGTTGTTAAAAAAAGAAATTTTAAAATCAGGTGTGTTAACTTTTCTGTTTAAAATTTCCAAGAGCTTCCCTTTGCAATCAGAATAAAAGGCAAAGTCCTTACAATGGTCTTCAAGGCCTTTCATGATCACTTGCAAGTCACTCAGTGTCTCCAGCCACCCTGGACCCCTCACTGTTTGTTCCACAGATATAACAGGATATATATTCCCACTGTGTCCCAAATTTGAAATGCTTAGATATCCAAATGGCTTCCTTTAGGTTTTTACTCCAAGAGGCCTTCTGTGATCATTCTAGATAAACCATAACTCCCTACCCTTTCACCACTTCTCCCTCTTCCTTGCTTTATTTTCTTTCTTAGCATTTATTATTATTTAATATATTGTATATTTTTCTTGTTTTACACCTGCCTCCCCCACTAAAATGTAAGCTTCTCAGTGGCAGGGAATTTTTGTTTTTGCTGTGTTTATATAGCTATATCTCCAATGCCAGGTGCAAAGTAGGTGTTTAATAAAAAATTTCTGGATGAACGAATGAATGAATGTAGGTGGTGGTGATGATGGCCTAGATTAGGCTTTTATCAATAGATATGGAGCTGTATATGAAACATTTCAAAGGAAAGCATAATAGGAGGAAGTGAATGAGCTTGGGAGGGGAGACTGTCCTCCAGCCTGGTGGCTGTAGCAAAGGCAGGTGCAACAGGCCAGAAGGCAAGAAAGGTGCGGGCTGGAGCACAAATGTCAGAACAAGGGATGGAGGAGGTCTCAGAAGTTCCTGGGTGGATGTAATAGATGGGACTATTGGAGTGGATGAAACCTGAGCAGATGTAGAGAGAGAAAGCTGAAGCCTGAGCTCTGAAGAATGCTCACCGTTTTCAGTGAAAGAAAAATCAATGGGGGAAAAAAAACAGCAGCAGCAATTACGAAAGTCCAAAGATATAGAATAAGGCAACATTACAGAAGCCAAAAGAAGGGACATTTCAAGAAATGGTGATCAACAAAGTAAAACATGTCAAGAGAGTCCTGGGATAATGGAGGTAGTGGGTGTGGGCACTAAAAGGGAAAAGAAAACAATTTCTCTTAAAGAGTCAAAGACTTTGTCTAGAGATAATAGAGATCTAAGACAGCTGGTGGTAGGGAGGACTAAGTTAATTAGAGAAATGATGATACAGGAGTGGGACCAACTTGAAGGAAGGACACTGCACCAACAGCAGGAAGGAAGGGAAGGCACAGACGCACAGGCTGGGGATGTGGCCTCTTCCTGTGAAGATGTAGGCTTGAAGCTCCAAAACTTGAAGAGTTGGGGGGCCACATGCATGTAGGAGGTGGTGAGATGGATCCAAAGCAGTGTGTATGGAACGTGAGGGTGCTAACACCAGAGCCCCCATCTTCAACATAAACTAGCAGGAACCATCCTTTCCAGAGAATCAGGGAATCAGCAAGGTGAAGGCAAGCAAAGAAATTCCTAGGACTGCTGTCAGAACTACAATAGATGCCCTTTGTTCTTGAAGTAGAGCACTAAAATATTTTAACTCCCTAGATGATTTGTATGTACTACTGGTTTGTAACCATTCTCCTCCAAGGATCGGTTAGGCATTCCTGGGTGACAGTGCCATCTGTACTGACCTCAAAAGGCAGTATGTACAGTAAGCAGGTCTGCATGATGCTGCCTTTTTTTGCTTCATTGATCCACTCGTTGAGTCATCTGAGGAGGATTTATTTGGCTTGGTTGGAGACACACTACTGCCCACTTTCTCCTCAGAGGCCCACCTGGTAGAGTGAAGAAAGGAACTGACAAACTCCTAACCTGCAGGCCAGCCCCCTTCAGAGGCTTTATTTACTTTGCTGTTTCCCTAGGCTCTCTGTTCACACCTGGGGGGGGGGGATCCAGCCTGTGCTATCTCTGAAGGTTTTGCCTGAACAGCATAAGTTTCAAGAATGCTAGTAGCTCCACCCCTCTGCTGCTGAGAAAGGGAGCTTGGGTTCTGTGAAGAGCTAGGGGAGGTGACAATGTCTGTTTCCTCCACCAAGATAAAAACACACCTGCCAAATATGCAGGATCCCCCACCCCTTTTCAGAAGGGCTGTTGGCAGGGTGGGGGAAGGCCTGGAGAAATGGGATGATGGAGCTAGACAACCTGATGGAGCTCGCAACCCCCGGGATGCGAGTCCTTGCACCGACGCCCGGCTAGACATATTAATGCCCACTGCCTCCCTCCCCATGGTTTACCCGCTTCAGACTGAGACTTCTGAGAACACTGAGGGGCTGGTGGCTTTGGGTGGGGAGAGAGCCCACTCCCTCTTTATCTCCCTGCCCAGATGCCCAAATATCATTCCTGTTCCCTGGAGAGAAAAGGCCCCTCACCCTGCCCCAGGCACCAGGCTGCCAGCCCATCTGCTGGGGAGAAAGGAGGGGCAGTGTCTTTCCCATTAGATCCTAGAGAATCAACTGGAAGATCCATGATCCCAGGGAGACCCATCTACTAGACTTAGAAGGCAAGTCGGCTCCCATGGGTAATGAATGGGCAGCCTGGAGCTGAGCACGGAGTGGGCTAGGGTTGAGGGGCGAGGGCTGGCACAGCCAGAAGGGGTCCTTTGGCCAACCCCTGTCGGAAGCAGGTTGAGCTGTTCATTGGTGCCAACCCGCCACGGGATGGTAGGAACACCCCCCTCCTTGCGCCCAGTCTCACCGGCTCGCAGGCGCCAGGCCCCCCCCAGGCCCGGGTGGGCCAGGGAAGGTAATGTAATTCCGTCCCAGCTAACCCGATTATGACGGCCTGCACCGGGCCGGGCGGCGGCAGGGGCGGGTCTAAGGCGCAGGGGCCCACCCAGCCAGGGGTCCCATCCCAGAGAAGGACGCAGAGTTCACACACTCCCAGCTTCTGGGTCTGTGGCCAAAGGTCACAAGGTCACCAAGCGGCTTCGGTCTTTCCCCACCTCCCTTCTCTGACACGCTCCAGGCATGGTTTTCTGAGCTTGGGTGGGGTGAAGCGTCTATGGGAAATGAGGCGGCTGGGATTCTCCGAAGGTTTCAACGATGTCCCAAGTGTTGCCTGTGGCGACTTCGTCCTCCCCCTTTGAGGGAGGCGGAGTGTGTGAGGATAGACTCCCCAGGCGCTGAGTGGCGGGGCAGAGTCTCGCGTTGGTGGTCCGCTCTCGGGGGCAGAACGTCAGCCTCAAGGTCCCACCCGCCTGAGTTGAGCCAAGGGTCCGCTTTACACGGATTTCAAAAAATCAAAATTCTAAGAAACACAGGGCACCAATTATTGGCGCTCCTGGACGGAGCTAGGAGTTCTACGGGAGAAGCCCGGAGATGCACGAGAACACTAGCCGAGAGTGGTTGTTCCCCACCCTAGCCCACCGGACGAGCCCTGCCACCACTTTCCCACACCTGTCCTTTTCCTAGGCCTCCAACTCGCCGGCGCAGTTCCCCGAGCCGCTTCCCATCGCATCCAGGAAGCCATAACGAGATTTGGTCTTCGAGGGCACTTAGGCGAGGGCCACAACGAATCCGGCAGTCGGCTGGCAGGACCCATCGGGAGGCGAACAGTGGGGGCTGTGGGAGGAGGCACCTGCGAGGAAGCGAGTGAGGCCGAGGAAGCCCAAAGGCGGAGGCCGGTGAGGATGGAGTTGCAGTGCGCATCTCGGCTGACTCAGCGCGCAGCGACCCAAGCTCTGCCCCTCCCGTGCTGAGCCTGGTTCCTAGCACCCTCGTCACCCCCCCACCCCACTCCCTCCATCCCTGCAGGCCAGTCTTCTCCGCGCTTGGCGCAAACAGGAGTCTCTTCCCCTTTAACGGGCCGGGCCCCGCCCCTGCCCTACCCCCAGTCCCCACTGCCCACCCGAGTCTGATCTGTCAGTCATTGCCCCAGCCCAAGCCGGCCAACCCTCTCCACCCCGGACTCCAGCAGAGGCCCCGCGGCAGCCCAGGGTCCATTTGCGCTTCTGAGACAGAAAGAGCGCTCTTGGGGTCCTGGCCGGTCGCGCTCCCCCGGGATGCGAGTCCTTGCACCGACGCCCGGCAGAGGCCGGCATGGGCGCGGCTACTCTCCGAGCACAGGGATGAAGCTGTCCTGGGGGCCCCGGCGCCCCGCCGCAGCCAGTACCGCAGGACCCTGAGGCCGCCGCCCCGAGCGCTCAGCTGCTGGGCTCTCAGAGCTGCCTGGGGCGCCCTTCCAACCACCGAACCTCCTACGGCCCTTCCTGACCCAGACCCATGGAGCCAGCAGTGCTGGCCTCGCACAACCTCCCGCACCACGAGCCAATCAGCTTCGGCATTGATCAGATCCTGAGCTGCCCAGAGCCCCCCGGGAACGGCCTAGGCCCGGGTCACGCGGGCCAGGGCCATGGGGAGAGTGCGGCGTTCTCGGGTGGATTTCACGGAGCCTCAAGCTATGGTCCCACGGGCTCTTTGGGCCCGCTACCTGGCAGCTCCGGCGTGGGCCCGGGCGGCGTCATACGCGTCCCGGCGCACCGCCCGCTGCCAGTGCCGCCACCCGGGGGAGGCGCGCCTGCGGTGCCTGGCCCTTCGGGCTTGGGCGGAGCCGGGGGCCTAGCGGGACTCACCTTCCCATGGATGGACAGCGGCCGCCGCTTTGCCAAGGACCGGCTCACGGGTGAGGTTGCCCAACCCTCCAGCGTTATGCCCCATACCGGCCCAGTTTTCTCATCTTTGATCCTTCTGATCCAACTCCTGGTCTCCTTTCATCGCCCCCCCCCCAGGTCATCCCAGGGGATCCTGCCCCAACTTGTATCTCTCGGTCCCGTTAGCTGAGAGGCGGTGGGGAGGGGCCTGCCGTCGATGTCCGCGCCCTCCTCTGCAGTCCACTGTTCACACCACGGGGAGGGCAGGGTGCAGTTATGGGGACGATTCTCCCTCACCAAGGGGGAGGGCCGCTTCTTCCGAGGGCCTTTCTTATCTAGAGGCTTCCACTGATGTGGGGCCGAGCTTGGGGCACCGTTAAGGACCGTGCGCGGGAGCTCCGCGGCCCAGGCAGCAGCGCTCTCTTCTCAGGGACACCTCAGGCCGCCCTGCAAACCCTGCCCTGCTGTTTCTTTCTCCATGCAGCCGCGCTCTCGCCCTTCTCTGGGACGCGCCGCATCGGCCACCCCTACCAAAACCGGACGCCCCCGAAGCGGAAGAAGCCGCGCACGTCCTTCTCCCGCTCGCAGGTACTGGAGCTGGAGCGGCGCTTCCTGCGCCAGAAGTACCTGGCTTCGGCGGAGAGGGCGGCGCTGGCCAAGGCCTTGCGCATGACCGACGCTCAGGTCAAGACATGGTTCCAGAACCGACGCACCAAGTGGCGGTGAGGCGTGGGGCGGGGAGGGACCGCGGGACCGGGCCAAGTGGCGGTGAGGCGCAGAGCAGGGAGGGACCGCGGGGCCGGGCCAAGTGGCAGCGAGGAACGGGGCGGGCGAGGGCCGGCCTCGCCAATCCCGCACCTCCGCTCGTCCAGGCGCCAGACCGCGGAGGAACGCGAGGCGGAGCGGCACCGCGCAGGCCGACTGCTCCTGCACCTGCAGCAGGACGCGCTACCGCGGCCACTGCGGCCGCCGCTGCCCCCAGACCCGCTATGCCTGCACAACTCGTCGCTCTTCGCGCTGCAGAACCTGCAGCCTTGGGCCGAGGACAACAAGGTGGCTTCCGTGTCCGGGCTAGCCTCGGTGGTGTGAACGACGCCTGCCCGACCGGCCGAGCGCTTTTCCGGACCGAGGAGCCGCGTGGAGCGCGGGGCCCAGGGCTCCCCTCGCCGTGGTCCCGAGGTAGGGCAGCGCGCGAGGAGGAGCCGGCCTTGAGGCCCTCATCGACAGCTCCTCCACCACGGCCGGCTCCCAGGCCAGCGTGGCGCGCTTGCTCTGCACGGTGAGGTGCGGCCTTTCCCGCCGTTTTTCACTTGGACTGTCCCATGGCTGCTGGAAACTGTGGCGCCGAGAGGGCGGGACCTGCAGTACGGGAGCCAGTGAGGTGCGGGGAGGTGGAGCGGGCTGGCCAATGGGAGCTGCTTTCTTGAGGGACTCAGGAGTCTTCAGCGGGTGGGTGGGAACTGCAGTACTGTGGGGCTGCAGCAGGTAAAAGGCGGTGCTGGATGGGGCAGCCGAAAGAAAAAGTGTGAAGAAAGGGAGGAAGACGCCAACGACATCGGAGTAATGGAAGAGATGCTGGAGAGTGAGTCCGACTGTGACAGGAATCAGAGTTATCCACGTTTGGCATCTCATTCTTCTGTAAAATAATCCCTAAGAATCCCTTCCTGACTTTAAGCCTCATGTTGTCCATGTGTGTTCAGCCTGTTGACTACATCCTCCTACTTGAGCCTCACAATGTGCCTGGGTGGCAGGGGAGACAGATACTTCTCTTTCATCTTTCATCCAATGAAAGGGAAAATCTAGGAACACTAATTCTGCAGGGACAGAGAGGATAGAGGAGGAAGCAGTGGAAAAAGTTAATGGGCCCAGTAAAGTTAGGGTGAGCAGAACTTGGCAAATAATTAGGAAGTAATAGACCTAAGAAGAATCAAAGGTAACTCCAAGGCTGGAAATGTAGAGGATTAGGAAATCAATGGTGTTGTGGATGATGAAGGGGAAAATTGGGACAATCAGAGCAAAATTAACTCTGCAGGCAAAACTAAATGCTAGGCCTCCAGAGAATAAATTCTGGAAAAGTGCTTTAGGGGAGGTTAGTTAACATCCACATAGAGATGGAGATAAATGGAATGGTGAGATCAGAATCTCCAAGGGAGGACATCCTGAGGAGAAAAGCAGAATTCTAAGGACTAAATCTTTTTTTCCCCCACCAAATTCTACATACACATAATGTGCAAGATGATGGAGGATATTAAAGTTGTACTCTAAGGGAAGGAAAGGGAAAGGAATACCCAGCTGTAAAGAAAGGAAACCATGATGTCCCTGAAGTTGTTAGCAAGACTTTAGGTTGTGGGTAGTAGGCCAGGGCTACTGGGAAGCTTGTTGATGGAAGATTGAGAGTTTGGGGATGGTTGGAATAGCGTTTTTCTTGTTTTGTTTTTAAGGTTTTATTGGGGAATTGGGGGAGGGGACCAGCCAAGTTGTTGTTCTTCAATCTTCATTGTGGAGGGCGCCAGTCGCCATCTGGCTTCCTATCGGCAGCTCGTGACTTCTAAGCTCAAGGTGCTGTGTTCAATCTTAGTTGCAGGTGGGCATAGCCACCATCCCATGCAGGAGTCGAACCAGCAGCCTTGTTAAGAGCGCACGCTCCGTCCACTGAGCCATCTGGGCGGCAGCTCAGCTCAAGGTGCTGAGTTCAGTCTTAGTTGCTGATGGGTGTAGCCCACCATAGAACAGACATTCTTGTTGTTACACCAGCTGAGCCATCCGGCCACCTGTTGGCAGCTCAGTGACAACTCAGCTCAGGCGCAGCATCACTGGCCCATGTGGGAATTGAACCGGCCGTCCTGTTGCTGAGAGCTCTTGCTCTTAAGCCAACTCTTAACCAACTGAGCCACTTGGTTGGCCCCTGGAATAGCTTTGAGGTTGAAGAAGGAGCAGGATTTAAGTTGTATGAGGACGACAGGGAAGATTTTGTCTGATACCTCTAGAACCCCCATTCTCTCTCCTCTGGAGTCAGGAGCAGTGTGATAGAGAGAAATGAGCTTTACGCAGGTTTGGAGGCCAATTGTAGTCAAACTACTCATGTTCTGTGTTAGTGATAGTTAGGTCAGCCAGACCAAAAAGGCTTGACCAGAGGTGGGAACCAGGTAAGGGGATATCACTGGAGGAGTTAGCCCTGAGTCTGTGATATTGTGTCATCTCTAACTCATGAATGCTGTATATGCTGATACAAAACCAAACTAAAATTTGGCACCATAGGAAAAGAACTTTTATAGCCCAGAAGGGAGCTCAAGGATGGGGTTGGCTTAAGTTAGGGATAAGGGGGGCATATCAGTCCCTCTCCAGTAATTAGAAGAAGGCTAAGGAAAGGGTCCTACCCTATGCAGACTATGGCTTACCCAGTTCCCTCCACTCTCAGCCCACCATTTCTTGAGACTCGAGTTCCAAGATTTATATCAGACCCTAAACTTTGGGCTTCTAAATCTGGCTGGCTGCCTTAGTTGCTAGACTGAGGGAGGATCTAATGTGATGAGATGAGCTCTGCTCCATTCCTTAGGCAGGTCACTGCAGAACACAGGCATCTCCAAACTCTTGGGTGGAGGAGGATTCACTCTCCGCTGAAGCTGTTGAAGAAGCTGCCATCTCTTCCCTCAGCTGGTTCAGGAAGTCTCTGCTTTCACTGGGGGGCAGGTTACTCAGGAAGTATGGAGGGGCCAACTCCACTAGCCTGACAGAGAGAGTCATTCATAATTAGATGATTTCTGTATCCTCCCTCCTAATGCAGAGTTCTAAACTTCTCAACACCCCTCCCACAAACCCTGTCTTCTCAAATCATGTTACTACAAACCACTAAGATTCCCCTCTTCTTCTTAAGGTACTCTGACTCCCCAGCCGTAACTTTCGCCCCAGGAAGAGGAATGAGCAGTGTAGGAGGGGTGTCAGAAAACTTACATCTGTGGTTGAATCTCAGAAACAATGGAAAGGCAGTTGTCTTTGGAAATGGAGAAATTGTGGTAAATCACCCATGGCGGGTGTCTTGCTGGAGCCCGACGGCTTCGGTAGCAGCAGTATGGGGAGAGCTGGGCCACATGCTTATGGGTTAGGAGTAGGTAATTTCCAGTCCCATCTGTGTCTCGGGCCACCTCATTGAAAGGCAAAGATATTGAAGGAATAAGTGAGAGAGAAGAGGCAGACAGTAGAAAAAAGTAAAGGAGGTTAAGAAAGAATTAGAGTGGTGACAGTATTAAAAGTAAAGCATTATCTCTAGATGTTACAGCCCCTACCATACCATATGGCATTTTCCATAGCTCCTTGTACCCCCAACCCTCAAAGAAAAAGCTGCTCCTGGTTCTAAAGAATCCTTTGGCCACCTGGACCCTAGTTTCAGAGGTGGCATAACAATCTTTGGTCCCTGTGCCTTCTGCTACTTTCATGACCCCAACTCTTTCCTCTAACCTTAAGGAAGTAGCCAGACACCAGTGCTTTCTGAAGGTCTCTGCGATTCTTCTCAGAGCCAAAGGCTGGTTGGGACAAGGGAAGTTCAATTCGTTGCATGAGTTCTAGGAGTTCTCCTCGAAGTTTCTGGGCTTGGCATAGTGCTGCCCAGTTTAGACCCCGAGCCTGACACCAAGCCTTGTCTGCTCCACCTAGGAGAGGAAAGAGACCAGGTACAAATAAAGTCCTTGGGATCCCTGAAATAACCCAACCCTTGGTCAAAGGGCCTCCTCTTCCTGGGCATAGAGATGTGTCAGCTGGTTGCACACCACTTCCCCTCTTTGGAAAATCTGGGATTCTCTTAAGAGGATGCAGAGTGGGTCACTCACTCTGTATAAAGGCTTCATACACCTGGATCAGAGAGCTGTGATCACCATCTGCATGTTCCAGTGCCCGACGTAAGGCAGCTTCTTCTGCACATAGTGGAGGACGGGTAAACCCAGGGGCAGCTGGAGGCAGAAGTGAGGAAGGTTGTTTTGGGGTCTGAGAAAGGATAGCAGTACAGATGGAATGGTGAAAAGGGAGACGTGTCACTTAATTGGGAATTTTATTCAAAAGACATTGATAACTTCTAGGTGCTGTGCACTTTATTAGACATTAAAGAGAAACAAATGAAAGACAGCCTCTGCCCTCAAGTTGCTTAGAGTCTGGTGGGAGAGACTAACAAATAAGCAAACTTGATGAGCACAATAGGTGTGTGGGCCAATATTTGAAGTTTCAGCAGGAATCAGCACAGTGGAGAAGGTGGCAGAGAGACAGGATTCTGGACTGTGGGAGCAGCAAGGCGCAGCAGTTAGCAGCATGGCATGTTTGTGCCTAGTATGGGTGGAGGGAATGGCATATATGGCAGAGTCACAGGAGATAAAGCTGGAGAGGTAGGTATGGGCTAGGTCATGAGAGGCGGGATGTGCTGTGCAAATGAGTTTACATTCTGACTGGAAGGTAAAGAATAGCTGTTAAAGAAGAGTTTTTAAATAAGAGTCCATGTGTTTGAAGAAGTTCACGTGACTAGTTAGAAGTTCACATGTGTTTGAAGTTCACATGACTGAAGGAATCCAGCTGAGCAGTGATGGGATCTAACACTGGCAGTGACAGTGAGTATGGAGAAGAGCTGATGAATTAAAAAAAAAACACAAGGGCCGGCCAAGTGGCACGTTGGTTAAGAGCTGGCTTGGGATGCCAGCTCTGAGCAGCAAGACCCCGGTTTGGATCCCACATGAGGGCCAGTGACACTGCCCTCTACAGCTAAGATGGTGACAGCAGCTTGACCTGGAGCTGGGCTGCTGTAGGTCGCCGGCGACGGCGTAGGCTGCAGCCCCTGCTTCGGTGGGCTGCCATAAGCCACCATGTGTGGCCAGCAGCCAGTGTGAGCGGCTGGCAGCCAGCGTGAGGTGCCAAGAGCCGCAGTGAGCGGCCGTCCAGAAGCCAGCGACTGATCTGCCTCACACGGGAAGAGCGCAATGATAATACCAACATGGCCCAGTGAAGCAATGTCCTCCAGAACTAGACTGAAGAACAAAAGGACAGCAACTTTTCTGTTCCCCTCCCCCAATTACCCAATAAAATCTTTAAAAAAACCCAAGAAACCCCACCCCCACCCCAAAACACAAAAACATCTAGGAGATAAGAGTGAAAGAACCTGGAAAAAGATTAATCTAGAATGATGGTAAATGGAGCTGCAGAGATGATGGTATGATTTTGTGGTAGTGATGGTGAGGTTGTTAAAAAAGTTCCCAAGTTCAGTTCTAGGTTATAGTACTATGGACTATTCTGGTAGAAATGTTCATCAGGAGTCGGGTATATAAATCTAAGATTCAGAAGAATGGTATTGGCAGGGAGAACAAGGTTTGGAAATTTTAAGAGTGACGGTGGCCTTTCAGACCACAGGTGTGGATGAATTTGCTCGGAGAGTTCAGGGAATGAGAAGACAAGTGGGGCA